TGATCAAGAATACAATCGTATCAATTTTATAATTTCGCAAAATTAACTAAGAACAATCAAAGGAATTAAGAACAAATCCCTTTATATCTTCTTTTGTTGACTCGTTAATGAAGTGAAATTAAACCCACCAATTTTGATTCTATAACCACTTCTTTACTTAAATTAAGAATCAATATCCTTAATGCATGCCAAGCGACTTGATCAATGGATGTGATTTTGCACAAATTATTTTTTGTTCTCTAAATACTTGAGCGGGATGTTTAGCTTTCGAAAATAATGAAATGTCAAATCCATATGCATTTGCAAGAAAATGGCAGAACTACGTGCAACTCGGTCAATGGATGAATTTCATTTTTCAACGCTCGATTGCATTCTTGTTCAATTACTTTACGTATAGGTAAAATAGTTATAAAATATATGAATTAATTATTACCTAAACAGTAATCATTCAAACGCAGTAAGAAGATTACTATATCAAATAATATACTAAGAGATATTCTGGATTTGTTAATAGATTAATGTAAAAATTGACAATTATTAATTTTATCTAATTTTAAATTCACCTATTTAGCTAACCTGAAAATATCTAAGATTTAAAGTAATTTATTCTACACGAGCTGCAATATTATAATAAGAAAACGATCTTGTAAAATATAGAAAACTCTAGTAACCGTTCAGCCATTTAGTATTTTCTACTAGAAGGACCTGTAAACTTTTCGCGGTTTTGATAGTTAAAAATCAATAGGATGTTAAGCTAGCCAATAAATAAAGTTTGTAAAAAAAAAAAAATTACACATATTTTTCCTACACTAACAATAAGTGAAAAAAATTCATTGCAGCAACATTTTTTAAATTCGTTTTTGGTTTGTAGCCTATAAAATTTCTAAACATTAAAGGGTATATTCAGGGGAAATTCCATAGTTTTATCAAAAATCGCTCATCGAGGTTATGCAGTGGTTTAGTTAATAAACTCCATTTTGTCTGTTGAGAGTCTTGGTTGAATTTGAATATTGATATAAGTTTGAAAGCGAGATCTCTTTGAAGCAATTAAAGGTCATTTCATCTACTGGTCTAATTCGTCTAGGCTAGTAACATAGTTTTACTAAGAGTTGGGAAAGATTAACTAGCCGTGTGGTCTTCCATGTCAAACTAGCAACCTCTAATCAGATTGCTGAGTTGAAAAGTGAGTGGCTTTTTTCTCGATGGGCCGTCACTTGCTTCGACAGTCAAACCATTTTGTCACCACAAATTCATTGTCTATTTCAAATGGGGTAATCCCAATTCTTATGTATCATGAATACAATTTTCAGAAAAAAAAAATTAAAAAACTACAGCTAGCTTGGTTGTGTGCTCCAAGTGAGCTGTCAACAAGGCGTCGAACTAAAGACATAAATTAGGGACAAAATGATCAGCAACTTCATGTAACTACACATTGATAATATACAAATCAGAAACTAATAAAAATCATACATATATATAAATCACCATCTGCAATATATTATAAGCATTATCAGCCTTAAACGAGCAGAGTTTTCATTACTTTTCAAAACATGTCACAACCTACGGCACCACCGCAGCCTGATGAGGAGGCACCGCCACAGCCGCAACCAGCACAGGCGCCATCCTCCTCTTCATTGATGGCAATCATAGCTCTAATTCTAAGAATCATCACATGGGTCTGTCTCATAATTTCAACCATCATAATAGTAACAACTACTGCCACAATCATAGGCACTTATCAGACTGTCGAAATTCACTTCAATGATATAATTGCTTACAGGTAATTAAATTGCATTCATCTTAAGAATCACCTCATCTAAAAGCTTAGGTTAAACTTTTAAATGAGTTGCTCTGACGGCTACCCTTCTAAATATGAGTTGCACTTGAATAAGCATGTTGAAAATATATAATTCAAAAAAATGAGTTCGATCACTTTATAAAACATAAGCTTTCCGATAAAATAGTTCGATATCGACACTTACTCTGGATTATGATCGCTTCACAGGTATGTACTAGCTGTCAATGTTCTGGGACTGGTGTACACTAAATTGCAGTTACCATCCTCAATCCGCCTTGTAATCTCAGGAAAACCCCTGTGGAAGAGTCCTGGTTTCCTCGTGTATGATTTTCTTGGTGATAAGGTTAAGAATCTTTCCTCTTATAACTTCATATTTTCGAACACACGTGTTCTCTGCATCATTGATCTTATCTTGTAATTAAGTCAAACGTGAAGAATATATAAGTGAACAGTAGGAAAGAAAGTACATGTATGTTGGATAATATTTAGAAATATGAAATGTTAAATTGATTTTAATTTGCTCAATTTCATGAATCGAACAGGTCCTTTTATCACTATTGGCAACTGGGGTAGGTGCGGCATTTGGTGCTACACTGGATCTCAAGAAAAACCTGGATGACTTAGATGATATCCTTCAAGAAAACTATGACAACACTGCCCTTTCCCTAATTAGAGTAAAACTCGATGATTTTTTCGGCAAGGCCTATGTCTCAGCAGGATTCCTTCTCTTTGCTTTCCTCACCTCAGTAATTTCGTCTGTACTTTCATCTTTGGAGCTCACCAAGAAGACCTACTAATAGACAATAAGAAATCTTTTTAATGATCTATAAGATGTTATACAAGAAGTGTGAATGCATTTCTTTTCATTTACCGTGAAGAATTCTTGGAAGGTCCGGTGGTTTCTGTCATTCCTTCTATAGATATTTAAATTTTGAAAGAAGTTGGAAGGGGTAATTGCCTTGCAGTTACCAAATCTCTCTTATATTTTCTTTTCGTTGAGCTTTGTGTTGAGAATTATAAACCTTAATTATATCCCACCAAAAGCAATCAATTTAAAGAAAGAAAAAAATAATCAAGAACTAACAAAATTTATAGAGATTCGTCTAGACCACATCATCTTTCGCCGCTACAATAATTTATGAAAAAAAAGGTTTACAAGAGAAAATATTAATCATATCTCTTCTAACCTCTCCTTCTCCCTATTTGATAATAATACATAAGGCCTAACGACTGCTCTGTATTTATAAGATAAATTAGGGCAAAACAAAATTTTACAAGGATTACTATTCCTTTATAGAATTTTACAAGAATACAAATTTCTAAATAATCCTAAGTTAAAATTTTTGTCGGGGGGCTATCAATCCCCTTCCAACCCCCACAGCGATCTCATTGCGGAGATCGATCCGTGACTAGCTTCGCAAATTAACAATAATTAGGTCTTCACAATAAGCAGTCTCCAAAACTTAATTTGCCACTTGGAGACTAATTCACCATCATTAATTCCTCTACAGCGGTAACCACTCATTCCTTAACATAGAAGTCCTGCTTAATCGAAACAATCTTTGTCAACATGTCAGCCAGATTCTGACTCTCCTTAATCGAAACAATCTTTGTCAACAACTCATCATTCCTTAACATAGAAGTCCTGCTTAATCGAAACAATCTTTGTCAACATGTCAGCCAGATTCTGACTCTCCTTAATCTTCTCAAGTGTTAAGATTCCATCCTCCAAATTCGATATGATGAAATAATAATGAACTTGTATATGCTTTGTTCTTGCATGATAAATAGGATTTTTAGATAACTGAATAGCGCTTTGACTGTCACAATGCAACACACTATTCTTATACTTGTGACCCAATCCCAAAAAGACTGCAAATCTATCATCTCTTTGCTAGCTTCAGTTATAGCAGCATCTGATCCTCGGTAGTGGAAAGAGCAACTATCTTCTACAACTTAGATACCTACCTAACTATTGTACTACCCAAAGAGAGTGTGTGTGTGTGTGAACCTGCTTAGTACCTTGTTCACATACTCTTCCTGTGACAATTTCTAGACATCATTGTTTTTAATAATTCTCATCCCAATGATATATATATTATTATTATTTTTTTTTGCATCACGCAAGTCCGTCATTGCAAACTCTTTAGATATCTCATTTTTTTCAACTTATATATTCATTACTTGCGAGCACCTATAATCAACATGTCATTAACATATAACAGAAAGATAATATAGGAGTTGTCAAGGTTCTTTACATAACAACAGTGATCCCCTTGACACCTTCTAAAGCGATTACTCATAAAACTATCAAACTTCTTATACCAACACCTTCTTATTATTGAAATCCCTTTACAACCAATCTTGCTTTATACTGCTTACTTCCATCATGTTCTTCTTGTAGGAAATTCAGTGCATGTGGATAAGACCGGGAAATGTTGTCTTTCGTCTCGTCAATTTGAATAATGCGCAATTAAAAGACTCTCAGATGAGGAGGGGGGTCACAACCGGACCGCTTAAATCCCAAACTCTTCTTAGACAGTTTAGGTCTTTTTGACAAAGCCTTTCAATTTTGCAACTATGCAAATCAACAAAATTCAAACAACCGCATATCGAATTTTCACCAGATCATTGAAAGTTTTATTTCCAACAAATAACTTTTGTTCCAATAGAATTTAAAATTCATGAAGCATATGAACAATATATCATAAATTCATGAAGCATGGACTATAAATTTAATACGAAAAATTGCATGAATTAAACAATTGAAACATAGAATTTTAACCCGAGGCCTGTGTTACACACAGTTTCCTTAAAACAGATTCGCCCCTCACCGTCCGTGCTTGAGGTTTAAAACGAGCGTCCGTTTCTCAGGATATAACGGTAAAACCAGTAGCTTTCGAGCACCGCAGAAACCACTCCGACGAACTGAACTAGTGCCTGAACTACACCACCACCAAGAGAGAACTCTATGCAAATGAATTTCTAGTGTATTCTAAACTTGAAAGCTTTTGCTTTTTTTTGTGTGTTGAAATGAGGAAAATGAGTCACTGTTTATAGGCTAGCCTACCATTAATAGCAATGACCTTTGAAGTTCCTCATCTTTTTCCTATGTGGGACAAATTCATTTTTCCCACATAAACTCCCTTTTGAGTGGCACACTTTGAGCCTCAATTTCTCATTCACCCGAGCATCAACTTTGGCAAGTAAGTATATGATTTCGATGTACTCACGGAGGAGAACACAAATCAACTTTCATCTTCCAAATTGAACAACCGGGTCCCACTCAAAACTCGTGCCAAAGTCGGCCAATTTTTCCAACAATCCCCACATGAATGAAAATTGAAAGCGACTCATGCATGTGACACATGACGACTTATGAATGTGGCACATGACGACTTGGTGATATAGTTCAACAGTTGAAACCTGCATACGATAGGTAGGTGTTACCCTTTGAACCTTCGCTTGTGAAAGCATATTTACTTCACTGGCTGACCAGTAGACGCGATGTCCTTGAACTGTTCTACCGTTTGTGTAAACGATGATACACTTCACACAAGATTCTTCCTAACACATTTCAGTTCTCATTATTATGTTCATTTTGGTCATGAACATACGCCTGGTTCTGTGAGAGTTCACAAGAATTGCGCCCCACATAATTCCCTTAGAAGCGGCCCCACTTCTCTCTCACATAGGTGATTTCTTATTACAAGTAACCCGCATTACTTGGCTCGATTTTCGACGCATAAGAATCATTAAAAGCCTATTGCTTATCATCCATCTTTACGGGCATCACTGTCGCATCACAGGAATGGACATGACGTAATATCCCCACAGTGATTCTATCAAGTCTTTACAATTAGGTTGTCCCTTTGAACCTAGATCTTGGGATCTCCAGTCAACTAGGTTGGATTTTCCTTTGTACTAACTTATCCATTCAAGGGCTTAAGTCTCATTCCTTTCAATGATTTCTCAACTAACTCTCTCTTTAACCCTTTGGTTAGCGAATCCGCAATGTTATCCTTTGACTTTACATAATCAATAGTGATAACTCCAGTTGAGAGTAGTTGCCTAATGGTATTATGTCTACGACGTATATGTCTAGACTTACCATTATACATATTGTTCTGTACCCTTCCAATTGCCGATTGACTATCACAATATATGCAAATTGTTGGCACGGGCTTTGACCATATTGGAATATCCTCTAAGAAGTTGCGTAGCCACTCAGCCTCTTCACCACTTTTATCTAGAGCTATAAACTCAGATTCCATAGTGGATCTGGCTATCACTGTTTGTTTAGAAGATTTCCATGATATAGCTGCACCTGCCAAAGTGAACACAAATCCACTCGTGGACTTTGAGTCTTTTATGTCGGATATCCAATTAGCATCACTATATCCTTCAATGACAGCTGGATATCTGCTATAGTGCAGTCCAAAATTATGAGTATATCTTAAGTACCTTAGTACTCTTACTATTCCTTTCCAGTGGTCAGCTCCTGGATTACTCGTGTATCTACTCAGTTTACTGATTGTGTAGGCTATGTCTAGTCTAGTATAGCTCATTAAGTACATTAGACTTCCGATAACTCTCGAGTATTCTACTTGAGAGATACTTTCTCCTCTGTTTTTAGACAGATGTTGACTAGTATTTATTGGTGTTCTAGCCAAGCCAGTATCATCCTTATGAAATTTTTCTAAAATTTTGTCCACATAATGTGACTGACTTAGAACAAGCCTATTTGATGTTCTTGAGATTTTCACTCCAAGTATAACATCAGCTAAACCCATATCTTTCATGTCAAACCTCGAGTTTAATATAATTTTAGTGGATTCAATCATCTTATTGTCACTGCCAACAATAAGCATGTCGTCAATGTAAAGACATAAGATGACATATCCGTCTTTAGTGTCTTTGACGTATACACATTTCTCACATTCGTTGATCTTAAATCCACTCTCCATCATGACACTGTCAAATTTCTCATGCCATTGTTTTAGTTCTTGTTTCAAGCCATACATTTACTTCACCAATTTACACACTTTCTTTTCCTACCTTGGAGACGAAAAGCCTTAGGATTGTTCCATATAGATTTCTTCATCTAAGTCTCCATTCAAGAAGGCAGTCTTAACATCTATTTGATGTACTTCAAGATTTCGCAAAGCAGCAATCGCAAGTATCATTCTAATGAATGTTATTCTCGTTACTGGAGAATATGTATCAAAAGTAATCAAGGCCTTCCCGTTGTCGATAACCTTTTATTACCAACCTGACCTTATACTTTTCAATAGTTCCATCTGTTTTCATTTTCGTTTGAAAATCCACTTGTAGCCTAGTGGTTTACTTCCTGGTGGAAGATCCACTAGCTCCCATGTATGATTTTACAAGATAGAATATATTTTACTTTTAATGGTCTCTTTCCATTGAGGTGCTTCCGAGGAGTTCACAGCCTCTTGATAGTTTTGAGGTTCACTTTCTAGCATATAGGTCAGAAAATCCGGACCATAAGATTTTTCTGTCCTTTGCCTTTTGCTACATTTAGGTTCAACCTCAACTTCCTCTTCTAGTTCTTGGTCCTGACTATGTTCAGTCATAGTCTCATACGTCCGTTTAGAAGAACTTGCTTCTTCTTCGGACCTGCATGGAAACACATGTTCAAAGAATGAAGCATTTCTCGACTCCACTATCGTGTTTCTGTGTATATCTTGGATTTTAGATTCATACACGAGAAACCGATAAGCATTACTGTTATGTACGTATCCAATGAATATTCAATCTACAGTTTTCAGGCCTATCTTCACCTTCTTTG